AACCTCATGCAGACGTTTCGCGCGCGCGTCGGGCAGATCGCGGCGCTGGTCGCAGCACCCACTGCGGCGCAGTACAACCAGCGTATCCAGCACATGATGGGGCAGCTCGAGCAGTTCCGGCCGATGCTTGTCAAGCAGCACCACCGCCTCTTGCTGCTGCGGCACGCAACGTGGTGCCACGCGGCCGACTGCAAGGTGACGGACTGCGCCGAGATGAAGACGCTCTGGAACCACATGCCGGCGTGCGGCCAGACGAGCCAGTGCGGTGTCCAGCACTGCATTAGCTCCAAGTACTTGCTGAACCACTTTCAGCAGTGCAACATCGGGCCGTGCCTCGTGTGCCAGATCGTGCGCGTGCCACTGGAGGCCAAGGACGCGGCCGGCCAGCTCATCGCCGACCCCGCGGTCGCACTCACGCATTTGCGGCAGCTCCAGCAGGCGCAGCAGCAAGCCAAGCTCAACGCGACGCCGCGCGCCAGCGACAACAACAACAACAACAGCAAGCCCGAGACGCTCAAGCGCAGCGCGTCACAAATGTCGATCGACACGACGTCGATGCAGAGCTTGCTGCAGACACCGACGCAGCCACCCAAGCCGTCGCCGACGCATCCTGCCGCCGCGCTGCCCACGCAACAACCGGGAATGATGCAGCCGCAGCCAGGCATGATGCAGCCGCAGCCGGGCATGATGCCGCAGCAGCCTGGCATGATGCCACAGCAACCGGGCATGATGCCACAGCAGCCAGGCATGATGCAGCCGCAGCCAGGCATGATGCCGCAGCAGCCGGCATGATGCCACAGCAGCCAGGCATGATGCCGCAGCAGCCGGCATGATGCCACAGCAGCCAGGCATGATGCAGCCGCAATCTGGCATGATGCCGCAGCAGCCGGGCATGATGCCGCAGCAACCTGGCATGATGCCGCAGCAACCTGGCATGATGCCGCAGCAACCTGGCATGATGCCGCAGCAGCCGGGCATGATGTCGCAACACCCCGGTATGATGCCGCAGCAGCCGGGCATGATGCCGCCCAACATGGTGGCGATGCAGCAGCAGCAGCTCATGCAGCAGCAGAAGCAGCAGATCGAGGTACTCAAGAAGCGCTTCAGCGAGTGGACGCCCGAACAGCTCCACGCGCACAGCAAGAAGCTCGAGGCACTGGCCGAGTCGCTGCGTAGTCACATGCAGAAGAGCGCGGTCGATGCCAACAAGCAGATGGAGCTCTTCCAAGGGTCCATGGACCCGGCCGCCCGGCAGCGGTACCAGCACGCAGCCATGGACGCGCAGCGGCAGCTCCAAGACTTTAAGGCCAAGTACCAGCGCTGCCTCACGCAGTACAAGATCATCTCGTTTACGATCCAGAGCCGGTCGGCGTCAATCTCGACGCCGCCAACGCCGCCCGCGCCCGCGTCGACGCCGCCGTCCGCGACAACGACCGTCGCGACTCCGCCCGAGACGACCACCATGTCGCCAGAGCACGCCAAGCCCGAGCCGATGGCCAAGAAGATGAAGCCCGAGCCCAAGCCCGAGGTCGCGATGCCGGCGGACGAGCCGCCGGCCGACGCCGCGTCGCCGTCGACGTACATGCTGCCGCAGATGACCGACATGGAGATCCGAGCGCACGTGGCGTCGCTCCAGTCGCAGCACTGTGCGTCGCTCACGGTCGCGCAGCTCAAGAAGAAGCTCGAGCCGCTGCTTCGGAGCATGATGGACCACAAGTTTGGGTGGGTCTTCTCGTCGCCAGTGGACCCGATCGCGCTCAACATCCCCAACTACTTTGACATTATCCGGCGGCCCATGGACTTTGGCACGATCAAGAAGAAGCTGGACGCGAACCTGTACAAGCATCTGGCGCCGTTCGCGGCCGACGTGCGGCTCACGTTTCGGAACGCGATGACGTACAACAACGAAGAGTCGGACGTCCATCAGCTCGCCAAGGACATGCTGGGCGACTTTAACGCGGAGCTGAGCAAGGTCGAGAAGGAAGTCGCGGCCGACGAGGCGAGTGCGCGCGCGCGGGACGGCGCGTGCAAGCTCTGCGGCATGGAGTCGATGGTCTTTGAGCCCGCAATTCTGTACTGCAACGGCGAGTGCAACACGCGCATTCGGCGCAACTGCTACTACTACTGCGCGCCGGACAACAAGTACCACTGCTGCACCAACTGCTTTCCCGCGTTGCCCGAATCCATCTCGGCGCCCTCGAACGACGGCGGCCCGTACGAGAAGAGTGGTCTCGTCCGCAAGAAGAACGACGAAGTCCACGAAGAGCCATGGGTCCAGTGCGACCATTGCAACCAGTGGGTGCACCAGGTTTGCGCACTTTTCCACCACAAGCCCGGGTCGGAGAGCAACACGAACGAGAAGGCGACCAACATGAACACGGCGTTCCACTGCCCCGAGTGTCTCCTCTCGCTGCGCGCCAAGACGCCGTCGGCGTTTCCTGTTGAGAAGAAGCTCTTATCGGCCAAGCATCTGCCGCGCTCCAAGCTCTCGGACTTTCTGGAGCGCCGCGTGCAGCACTTGCTCGCGAAGGAGGCGGAGGCCGATCCGTCAACAGGCAAGGCCGATGCGCTCGTGATCCGCCAAGTGAGCAACATTGAGAAGCAGCTCATCGTGCGTGACAAGATGTATGCGCGCTACAAGGAACACAAGTACCCGTCCGAGCACCGGTTCAAGTCCAAGTGTCTCTGCATGTTTCAAGAGACGCACGGCGTCTCGGTGCTGCTCTTTGGCATGTACGTGCACGAATTCGACGAGCAAGAGAGCGCGGCTAACCAGCGCCGCGTCTACGTGTCGTACCTCGACTCGGTCAACTACCTCGAGCCCGTGCATTTGCGCACCAAGGTCTACCACGAGATCCTCATTGGGTACCTCGAGTTTGTCAAGCAGCGCGGCTTCCACACCGCGCACATTTGGGCCTGCCCGCCGCTCAAGGGCGACGACTACATCTTGTATTGCCACCCCGAGTCGCAGAAGACGCCCAAGAGCGACCGTCTCCGGCAGTGGTACGTCCAGATGCTGCTCAAGGCCAAGGACGAAGGCATCGTCGTCGACATCCACAACATGTACGACGAGTATTGGAGCCACGCGGGCGCGTCGCCGATGGCGCTGCCGTACTTTGAAGGCGACTACTGGGTCGGTCTCGCCGAAGACCTCATCGAGAAGATGGACGAGGAAGAGAAGGCAGACGCCAAGACGAAGAAGCCCGCGAAAGCGAGCGTCAACAAGCTCTCGAAGCCCAACAAGCGCCAAGGCAAGGACAAGGACAAGAGCGAGGCCGAAGTCATCGAGTTCTCGGACCCGCTCATGGCCAAGCTCGGCGAGGTCATCAAGCCGATGAAGGAAGACTTTCTCGTCGTGAACCTCTTTCCGTGCTGCAAGACTTGCAAGACCGTCGTGGGCGCGGGCACGGTGTGGAAGGAAACGAAGCCCGCGCCCAAGACGTCGGCGGCGTTTGTCTGCGACAACTGCTACCAAGCGAGCCCGCTCCCCGACGCCGCGTGGGTGCCCACGTCGCTGCCGCTTGTGCTCCGAGACAAGTGCGTCGACCCGGACGAGCTTCTCGAGAGCGAAGTCTTTGATACGCGCCAAGCGTTCCTCTCGCTCTGCCAAGCCAACCACTACCAGTTTGACGACCTCCGACGGGCCAAGCACACGTCCATGATGACGTTGTACCACGTCGGTCAGCCGCCGAACGGGTACGTGTACAGCTGCAACGTGTGCTCGGCCGACATCACGTCGGGCACGCGCTGGCACTGCAACACGTGCCCGGACTATGACGTGTGCGAGTCGTGCCACACCAAGAAGGCCCAAGTCCACGTGCACATCCTCGAGGCCATCGGGACGCTCAACGACACGATGCGCAAGGCCCGGGAAGAGCGCGCGAAGAGCATTGCGCTGCACATGCAGCTCTTGGTGCATGCGAGCAGCTGCAACGCCGAGAAGGGCAACTGCACGTCGCTCAACTGCGAGAAGATGAAGGAGCTGCTGCGGCACGGCGGCAACTGCAAGCTCCGCGCGACCGGCGGCTGCACAATTTGCCGGCGCGTCTGGGCGCTGCTGCAGATCCATGCGCGCCAGTGCCGCAACGCCGAGTGCTCGGTGCCGCGCTGCAAGGACCTCCGCGAACACCTCCGCAAGCTCGCGCTCCAGCAACAGCTCATGGACGACCGCCGCCGCGCGGCCGTGACGGAGCAGTACCGCCAGCTCAACACGACGGAGGCGCCGGTCGAAGGTGCATCGGCCTAGGTAGAGTGTCTTGTGTCGACGATCGTGACTTCGATGTAGAACCGAGTTGCGCCACGTAGTAGTGTAATGATCCAATAGTTAGAGATTTTTTAGTCCCATGTCGCATAGCACGCGAGAGCAAAATGCACTGTCAAAAGAGCGTACGACATATACATCTGGCTGCGAGAAGCGTCACGTCGGCATTGACACACATGACGTGGCACCCTCGCGTGCAAGAAAACCGATTTTTACCATTAGCGCGCCCTCTAGTACCTCGTGTCTGTACACATGGTACTACGCAACAAGATCCCTGCGGACACCAGTTTCTCTCATTTGTCATGATGCCACTAGGGCCTTGGATAGATGGATAGATAGATGGATAGGTAGATAGCACCGACGTTTCTTCGCGTGTTATTCAACACTGCAGTACGTCGGGTCTTGCAGGCATGAAAAGCACCGGTGACGGATGCTCGTGACTGAGTCAGCTGCTACCTCCGCCTCTACAAGGTCGCTAGCCGCACCCCGTTTATGGTTTATGGTGTGTAGAGTGGACCGAGGCGGAGCCGTGATGCGAGCCTCCGAGTCACAGCGAGGCAAGTCGGAGCGCCAACCAGCCGGTCTACCTTACCCAGACCCACGTAGGGTTACCGACAGCTCGACAAATAACCAGTCGTGTAGTTAGTTGAGCTCGTGGCTACGAGCCTCTGCGTCACCGGATGGATGCGATACTCGAGTCTACGGTCGAAAGGCGCATGCAGAAGTTTGGTCTCGGAGTCTCGCACCACGTGCAATCTTATTGACAAAGACGTCTCCTAGGGTGCCAGCTCTTCGTCGAAAAGCAACGGGACGCGGCCTGCCTCGTCTTCGGTGCTGCTCTCGGTATCGAGAAAGGTCGGCGTCGCGCCGACGCGCAGCTTGCACGCGACGAGGACCGACGCCGCGTAGAGCACCAGCGAGAGCAAGAACGGGACCGCTTGCTCGCTCTCGCTCTTGGTCGAGAGCGTCGCGTAGAGCGTCGAGTACGCGAGCGGCCCGAGCGCGGTGGCGAACGCCCGCACGCCGTAGACCGCGCCTTGGACGTGGCCTTGGTCCTGGGCGCTGACGTGGATCGACTTGAGCGACGAGATGGCCGCGAAGCCAATGTCGCCGAGGCCCGAGAGCACGGCGCAGACAAAGATCCACGCCGCGTCGTGGGTGAGGAGCGAGACGAGGTACAGGGCCGCCATGCCGGTATACGCCAGCAGCGAGAGGACGAGGACGCCTTTCTCGCGCAGGACCGAGAGAAGTGGCTGGAGGAGCACGCCTTGGGCCACCATCGAGCTCACGCCCACGAGCAGCATAAAGGTCGCGATGCCATTCTTGTCGAACCCGAGCACGTTCTATCAAGATGTATCAAGTGGACAACGGGGCAGGTGTTGGGGAGACGCGTACGTTGAAGTAGAAGGTGCGGTAGCTCATCAAGCCCGACGAGACAAAGGTCGAGAGAGCGATGATGATGGAGAGACCGCGAAAGAGGGGTGTCTGGAGAAGGATGCCCATCGCGACAAACGGGTTGAGCGACGCAGTCGTTGACGCGTGCTTGGCCACGCGCTTGGGCAGCGTCTCGGAGATGCACGCGAGACTCCAGATCAGCCGGAGGACGTAGAACCCACACGAAGTGACCAGAATTTGGTACTAGACATGTCTGGTTTTGGCGCGGGAGGAGGCGGGGTAGGTACCGTCGAGAGGTGCTGCGTCAAGGCGATCGCGAGCGAGTACGAGAGCGACCCGACCGCAAAGAGGGCGCCGAACGCTAGCATCGCCCGACATTGCACGCTGGTTCTGTGAGGCAAGAGACCAGAAACACACTACCCGTCGCTCGGTTCTGCGGCGCAATGACATCGGCGACGCACGCGGCAAAGACCGAGCCCGATCTAACGCGACCTGAGCACGAGCCGTAGCAAGAGAGCAAGGTACAGATAGGCGTTGTAGACAAATTTCGTGATAAAGTAGATGAGAATGTCTTGGTTGTAGTCGTTGAACAGCAAGACGGTGAATGGGTAGACCACATGCAGCACTTGGGCCAGCACGATAAACGGCTACATGCAAGATCATACACTTCGAACGGCGAGGCACAAGGATGGGCTATTCTACCTTGCGGCCGTAAATGTCGGAGCTTTGACCCACGAGCGGCGCGAGGAGGAAGCTCACGATGGACCCCGCCGACGACGTCGCGCTCGACCAGAGGTTGGCCTGGCGCGAGCCCGCAATGCACACCTACAAGCAGCGTCGGCCAGGCTCCATACGCGTCGTATACGCTGGCGGTGTGGTTGCGGACGCAGTCAATGGGCACGCCGTGGTTGGCCTTGCGGGCAAAGTACTACCGGTAGACGCACGAACCTGAGGTTCGCCCACGGCGCTGGGCCTACCTCGGTCGTCGTGATGGGCAGCACGGGCACGAGGAGGCCGTACGAGAGCGACTCGATGCAGGCGAGCATCGCCAGCGGGTAGATGGCCACGAGGCAGGCCACGGCGGACGCCAGCTTGGGCATTTTGTATCTTTGCCGCCTGTCTAGAAATTTTATTCGGATGGCATGCGACACCATAGTCAAACCAGGCTATTTTAATCGATCACGAATGGATTGATGGGGCACGGGGTGCGAACCCGAGGTGCGCGAACTTGCACTTGACCAAGGCTTCGGCTGCGATCTTCCCGCCGAAGCTGTCACCTTGGAGGTCCT